CAGCCCAGGGAAATGTGGGGGGGGGGGAGGAGGCGAAAGTGCCCCGCACGGGAGGATTCAGTCTGTCCCGGCTATACTACACGCCGCCCGTGGGGGTTGCTTCCAGGAGTGGGGCGCGGGGCAGTGCCAAGGAATGAACACTCCCAGCCACCCGGGCGCCCCAGTGATTCGCGGTTTGGTGTGTCTTTCTGCAGGTGGTCAAGGCCATCAACCGGGTGCTGCTCCACAGGGTGGTCCATCTCGCCGACCCAGACACGGTCATCCAGGGGTTCAGCGCCCTCGGCTTCCCCAACTGCAGAGGGGCCATCAACGGGACGCACATCCCCATTCGTGCCCCGGAACAGCAGGCCTCCCTCTACATTAACTGCAAGGGTTACTTCTCAGTGATCCTGCAGGCCGTGTCTGACCACCGGGGCCAGTTCACGGACATAAATTTGGGCTGGTCCGGCAAGGCACATGACGCCAGGGTGTTCCGCAGCTCCTCCATGTGCCAGAGGCTGCACGCCAGGATCTTCTTCCCTGACTGCCGGTGCGCAGCACATGTGCGGCCCCGCCCCCGCGAATTGGGCCCCACACTTGCTAAAGCCGGTCCTGCCCACATGAGGGTGCTTGAGTGACTAAAAAGGTGATAGAATAAGGGAGCTAACACCAAGTTATCATAAGCAAGCTGCCCCCATGCCTGAAGCAGAGGGAACCAGGTGACACATGGTTCTCTGGGTGCCCAGAACTGTCAACTTCCACCTTCCTCAAAAGAGCTATTTAGATAAAAATGTTGCCAGGAACCACAGAGAGGAAATGCAGGTGCAATATGCTAAAGTGTGATATTTTGCATTGTTCTCCCCTTCCTTTTTCATTGGAGAAACAGAAGTCAGCTCTTCCAATGTCTATTTTCCTATCATATTTATGTATGTATGATGTGGGTGTTTCTTGAATGAATAAATGCTGGGACATTTCTTAACAAAAAAAGGGTTTATTAGAGGGACAAGGTGGCTGAGATAATATCATTCATTGGACAATTTCTGTTAGAGAACCACAAGCTTTCAAGCCACACCAAGCTCTTCTTCAGGTAAAAGTACTCTGACATCACAGCTAAATACAAAGTGGGACAGATTGTTTAGAATAAGTAGTTAGCACCTCCCACAAGGGATCAGTCAAAGTAGTGTAGCCCCGTAACACCTCTGTAGTTATAAAATAAAGCGTTAGTGGGTTATAGATTGTTGTAACCCATAAATGCACTGTCACTGTTCAGTCCATGATTTATTTTAGTGTCTAGCACAGGAATGAATTTAAGCTCCCAGGCTTTTGAAAGCAGGTTTTGTTTGAAGATGAGGACTGATAGGACCATTCAAGGTAGAGTGGCCCCTTAGAATATTTGTTTAATATAGTAGTTAGTAATCTGTCTCCCCATCTTGCATTTGATGTGATACTCTTTCCCAGACCTGAAAAAGAGCTCGCCCATCTTGTCTCCCTGATGACTGGGGCAACAAGGCTACAACTATACTGCATACAGTTTTATGTAATTCTACCTGTAGATGGTAGTAACTGCTAATAGTGCTGAATATTTCTGCCATTTCAGTACAAGAACAGTCCTAATAGTCCATAAGGCCTTTTCAAAACAATAAGCCTGTTCCTTCAAGAGGCTAACAGCCCTCTGCTGGGCACCCAGGCTGTGTCTAGACTGGCCAGTTGTTCTGGAAAATCAGCCACTTTTCCAGAAAAACTTGCCAGCTGTCTACACTGGCCAATTGAATTTCATCCTGTATGAAATCAGGGTTTCTTGCGGAAATACTATTCTGCTCCCGTTCAGGCAAAAGTCCCTTTTGTGCAAAGCTTTTGCGCAAAAGGGCCAGTGTAGACAGCTCAGTTTTGTTTTCCGCAAAAGAGC